AGCATGTTGTCTTGACAAAACTCTGTTAGCCTTTGCCCGACTTCATTTTGTTCTCCAAGGCCGCATTCGCTGGATTATGGAGAAAGCAAGGATGTACCAGAAAAACATCTACTTCTGCTTAATTGACTATGCTAAAGCCTTTGATTGTGTGGATCACAACAAACTATGGCAAGTCCTTAAAAAGATGGGAGTACCAGACCACCTCACATGTCTCCTGAGAAAGCTGTATAAGGGTCAAGAAGCAACGGTTAGAACTGGATACGGAACAACTGATTGGTTTAGCATAGGAAAAGGAGTACGACAAGGATGTATATTGTCACCCCGCTTATTTAATTTATATGCAGAGTACATCATGCAAAATGCCGACCTGGATAAATCACAAACTGGAATTAAGATTGCTGGGGAAAACATCAACAACCTCAGATATGAAGTCGATACTACTCTAATGGCAGAAAGTGAAGAGGACCTCAAGCCTCTTGCTGAGGGTAAAAGAGAGGAGCACAAAAGTTGGCTTGAAACTCAACATCAAAAAAACTAAGACCATGGTATCCAGCCCCATCACTCCTTGGCAAATAGAAAGGGAAGTCATGGAAGCAGTGACAGACTTCATGTTCCTGGGATCCAAGATCACTGCAGACAGTGACTGCAGCCGTGAAATTAAAAGACGCCTGCTCCTTGGGAGAAAAGCGATGGCAAACCTAGACAGCATAATAAAAAAATAGAGACATCACCATGCCAGCCAAAGTCTGTATGGTCAAAGTAATGGTATTCCCAGTAGTAAAGAATGGCTGTGAGAGTTGGACCATAAGGAAGGTCGAGCGCCAAAGAATAGATGCTTTTGAATTATGGTGCTGGAGAAGACTCTTGAGAGTCCCTTGGATTGCAAGGAGGTCAAATCAATCACTGCAAGGAGGTCAAATCAATCAATCTTAAAATAAATCAACCCTGACTGTTCCCTGGAAGGCCAGATACTGAAGCTGAAGCTCAAATACTTTGGCTACCAAATGAGAAAGGAACACTCACTGGAGAAGACCCTGATGCTGGGAAAGATTGAAGGTCAAAGAAGAAGGGGACAGCAAAGGATGAGATGGTTAGACAGTGTTACCGATGCAACAAACATGAAATTAAGCAAACTCCGAAGGATGACAGAAGACAGGAGGGCCTCGTGTGATGTGGTCCATGGGGTCGCGAAGAGTTCGACTTGACTGTGCGACTGAACACAACCACCAACAAAATGGGGATTATTTGTATATTAAATATGGAAGTAACCATTCTCTTTCAGTGGGGGGAAGTCATCCAGGAAGTGGTTAGGTCATGCCTCTGCTCGCTCGGATAGGCTATGCAAATTTCTTTTGTTGCGTGATTTCTATTGGGGGAACCTAGGCTGACCTCTCCAGTTCCTGTATAGCCCTGCGCTCGGTAGGTTGTCTGGAGCTCCAGCTCCAAGCCAGAAAGCGCACACAAAAAAGGGGGGGGGAACTTTTCCTTTGGAGAAGAGAGAAAAGAGATGAGCCAGGATCTAGTCGAGCATACCTTTGCTGGTAGGCTGCAAGACAAGAAGAACATCAGGAGGCATGGACACAAGGCACCCAAGGATGTTCCAGGACACAAAGAAGAGGAAGCGGCCCCTCCCCCATCTGAGGTTTCGGAGCAGACGCCTCCTGGGAGCTGCAGCCCCTTACCTCCAAGGCTTTGGGGGTCGGGTTGCAGCAAGACCAGCAGCAGGAAGTTGCGTTGTCGCAACTGGAGTGCAAGGGAGGCTTCAGCAGCGCCAGAACAATCGAGGGCGCAGGGCAGGCAGGCCCCCACTCCTCCCCCAGCAGAAGGAAGGTGGCGGCACGGGTGCCAGCGGGCGCTGTCAAGCGGGTTGAGTGGTCTGAGCCTGAAGGCACCTGCTCCCCCCAGCGCCTGAAGAAAAAGGCCAAGAAATCGGCTGGCAGGGCGCCAGCGCACATGGGAAGGAAGGACACCACAGGGAAGCGAAAGGGCTGGTGAGCCCACGTGGTGAACCCATTCTGACAGGGAGGGAAGGCCCGGCCGGGAGCAGCCCCACCAGAGGACAGCCAGAGGTGATCCGGGGGAGAGCTTAGGCCTTTGGGGAGGCATGGGGGTGGCAGGACACTGGGGCAGGCTAGCCTCCTACAGCCACTTTCCCCCCTTCAACAGCAGCAGGCGCAGAGCCCAGGTGGGATGGCGCCTGGCCCATTCTTGCCCCCGCCATTTCAGCCAGCCCCAGCTGTGGCCTGTTCTAGGAGGGCCTTGGACAGCCCCTTCTTGACCACAGGGTGTGGGGAGCCAGGGGGAAGGGGCGGCAGCCCCAGGGCAACCCCCTGCCAGGCACAGGGAGCCAGGGGGTTGGGGCGGGAGCCCCGGGGCAACCTCCTGCCAGGCAGGCAAGACAGGAGCCCAGAGGAAGGACATCATCAAGGGGCTCCAAAACGGCAGAGAGCTCATCCATCATCGCATTCCTACTCATCTTCAGGCTCTAGGTCCCCCATAGCCAAAAAGAAGACTAAGGTCCGTGAGGCACTGAGTCCCACTGAAGCATCAGGAGTGTCTTGAGGGAGAAGATGCATGCTCTCAAGTCAGTATGGCCAGGGGATTGGGGCAACCAGGGTCTAGGGATGTTCCCAGTAGAGGACGTCTTCCCAGCATTACTTCTCAGCAGGCAGATATTGAATCCACCGTCACTTCCTTGGGTGGCATCACCGAAAAAGAAGAAGGGGAATGCTCAGGGGATGAGGCTGAGATAAAACGTACCTCATCCAGATTATTCCAGATTGGGCATTTCCAAAGACCGTTAACAAAGGTCATTTCCACACTGAACTACCAGATGGAAGTGACTGAGAAACCTAGATATTCACTGTCTGTGAACCTTGACAGCTAACCACTTCCTGGATGACTTCCCCCCACTGAATGAGAATGGTACATTGGACCTACCTGAAGGTTCTTTCTCTTCAGTGTGGGAGAAGTCATCCACATCCCACCCTAGAACCACCGCATCAAGTCAAGCCAAGAGTGGCACATTGGATGCTGACCACAGAGTCTTGCATCACAAATAAAATAAGCACAAAATGGACCACAAATGGCGAAACAAAAGACCTATATATATTGAGTCAAAAGAACAGATGAAGGAACAGGGCTTGGACATAACTGGAGAGGTCAGCCTAGGTCCCACCAATAGGAGCCATGCAAAAAAAGAAAGATGCTTAGATTTAATGTCAAATAATTTGTTTAATTTATTTCTTGTGGCTTATTGTGGTCTTCCTGCCCACACTGCTTTCTTAGACTCTGCTGCCTCAGTCCTGGCCAGTATACTGCAAACAGAATAATTTAAACGATTTACTCTCTGGGCAGAAGTTTGGGTGGCCCCACTTTCTTCTTTTTGCATTGGCACTAATGCAAATCCAGCAACCCTGTTCTCCCACTCTTGGTGCTGTTGGGTTTAGAACATCTCTGACCACTCTGGAACAGAATTCTCACCTAGCTGTGCCAATGATTAATAGAGGCCCAGTGCTTCAAACCTGGTCTACCAGCCTTTCAGATAACTTTGTAAAGTCATCTGCTGTCTTTCTCTTCTCTAAATCTTCTTTCACTTGGTAAACGCTTATTTTTTCCTCTTCTTCTCCTGGAAAAGTCCTCTGAAAAAGCATTAGTACAAAGTTGTGGTGATATTTGCCAGATTCTTTTAAGGACAGCTAAAGTAGCAGTGGTACCACCCCAGTGCTCAGTTAAGCAGGAGAATATACTCCTTGGTCATAGGAGCTCCCAGAAGAGATGCTTATATTCCTACCAAATTTGCATGTCCTTTTGGCAGCAACCTTGAAATGTACACATTTCTAGGTTACTTGGAGAATTGCTAGGAATATTTTAGCAGCTGTTGTAGCTTAATAATTGCAGAGAATGCAGTAAACTGCAAGTTGCTGCTCTTGACAGAATGTTCCATTTGAAGGAGGAGTGTAATCCGCATTGTGTGCGCTTTTTTTCAGTATGCCTGCAGTCTGATGGGAAATAATAGCTTAAATGATGTGGGATGAGAAACAATTTTTCTATTCAGCATCCATTTCGTCCAAATCAAAGTTACTGAAGGTGTCACAGTTCAAAGGACACTATAGAACTTTGTTGGAAGGAGAATTGTTACTAAGAAAATTATAGAGCTGGTCATTTTCTACCATATATTTTAAAGATTGATTGTTACAATCTTGTCCATAGATTGCAAATCTTACGCTTAATAAATCTAGGATTTTAGCATAAGGAAAAACTATCACAATCATAATGGCAGGCATGCTCAAGACTGGAGAATTCTTTTAGTGCAGCAAGTTGATGTGATCAGATAATCTCGCTGTTTAATAAGTCTCTGTGTTGTTGACTGGGTGAAGTGTTTTACCATACTAAGTCTATAGTTGTTTTCACCATTACTCCTGTAGCAATAATATTCTCCTGCTGGCTGTATCATATGGCTTCAGGGCCGCCACCAAAGACTACCAGTTTCTGAGCAGAGGAGACCAGAAGCTTCCCACCATACAAGCCCATTACTTAAAAACTAATAATTTGGAGGAAAGACTGAGGGTGAATATAACGTGGCTGTCACAAGCCAATTTACAGCAGTTGTTCCTTTTAAGGGGGAAAAAAGTCAGCTTCTGCATGCTTGGGAATTTAGTGTAAGGTTAGGGGGACGGACCATACAGCATCCCCAACTGACACGAAAACAAGTTTAAGTAAATTGTACCTGTTTTGTTAGAGTGGCACTCCACAGTAGTGATAACAGTGAGTCTAAGGGATATTTGGTTGCTGTTACTGATTCAGCTTGCGTTCTTCCACTTAATTACATAAATAATGTTACTGCTCTCTCCAGATTTTTATCCAGCGCTCCACTTGCCCTATGGCTGTGGTTGATCTTCAGAAACTGGATTTAGGCATTAAAACTAATTTTGATCATCCACTGTTCATTATGCTTTTGCCAAGAACAGTGTTCAGATTGTTATATTCTCTTCTTTTAGGTGCTGGAGATCAGAATCTCTTCAGTTCTCTGTATCCCACACTTTCTCAGCAGCTTCCAAGAGAGCCCATGGAATGGAGAAGGTAACAGAAATACTGTATTTAAGACATAGATTAGACAAGGAGTTAACAACATGGAATTAACACCTTGGGTACTACTGTGAATTTAACGATCTTGCTGCTTTTAAATAATGTTTGCTTCTGAGTTTGTACCGTATTATACTACTTTCTTACTGTAATGGCCACTCTTAAGTACAATCCTATGCAGGACTGAAGTCAATAGGCTTAAAAGAGTGTAACACTCCTTAGGATTGTGCTGTTGGTATTTTAATATTTATTTTTTTTATTTCGATACTAGTCTGAGCTGCCCTGGATACTTTTTAAAGTGGAAGGATAGTATAACAATCTGGCATCCTCTAACAATCGCTTGCCAAGAACTGCAATATGTTTTGAAACTAAGAAGAGAGATTACACATTCAGGCGTGTGAAATAATATGTGCCTATGGGCTTTTGGTACCTACTTTTAGTTACTTTACTTAAAAGTGGTAAACAGAACAAAAAGTGAATTCCAGGTTTAAGTGTCTTTAGCTATTGTTTGCAACATCTGCCTCTTGATGTATAAGAGTGATCTGTGTGTTAGTAATGACAATAAAAAGTAAAAATCTCTCAAAAGGAGACCTAAATTTTTTCTGATAGTTCCTAAATTTGGTAGAATTTTTAAAAGTCCAAATTCTTCTTTTGTAAATGAAAATTAGAAGATTTTAGGCTGACTATATATGAAGTTTGGATTAAGTATTCATACATGGTGCTTTTACATTTAGGTTTTCAGGCAGTTTCCTTGCTGTCAGACTTTAGTATAAATGCTTGTTCTAGAGTCCCTTGGTACATATTTAACTTTGCTTTATATATAAGTAATATCAATGTTTTGTATACTATACAGGTCTTATGGCCGTGCCCCAAAGATGATTCATCTAGAATCTAATTTTGTACAATTTAAAGAAGAACTACTGCCTAAAGAAGGAAACAAAGCTCTTCTAACATTTCCTTTTCTCCATATTTATTGGACAGAATGTTGTGTAAGTACTGGTGTGTATTCAAAGCATTGACACAAAAACTGACCATGGATGAAGGTAATCTGGAATTGCATCTTGTCATGGTTGTATTCTGGGCAAGACATTAAACTGGAGGCAAGGGGTGTTTTGTATGTCAGACAGCAAAATAAACTTTACTCCTAACCATCTGTTCTACTTGCATTAGGCAATTGTTTCCACTAAAAATTGAATGATATCTGCCAGATAAAAGTGTCACTATACTAATTCAGTGGCATGAATTGGGATTTTTCTTCTGATGATGATTAAGTATTTCAAGTTTGTTCAGCTAGTCAATTAGATCTTTTGATTTGTTCCTTTAGGACACAGAAGTATACAAAGCAACAGTAAAAGATGACATCACCAAGTGGCAAAATGTTCTGAAAGTTCATAGCTCTATGGATTGGTTAATCGTGGTGGTAGAATGTGATGCCAAGAAAAAAAACAAAACCAATATCCTTCCTCGAACATCTATAGTAGATAAAATAAGAAATGACTTCTGTAACAAGCAGAGTGATAGGTAAGTTTTTGGTAGTGTTAAATGTATTTGGTAGTGCTTGTTGTTAAGTAAGCCATTGTAGTCTTCAAAAGTATAGTAATTTTTGGTGGTCAAGACATTAGTGCTGAAATGTGTGAGCCTTGCTGCATCAAAAACTAATGAAGATAAAGAAGTTGTTTCAGATTTTTATCTTGTTTAATGGGGAGGTTACATGTTCTAGATTTAAGGAATTGTCCCTCTGTCTGTGTACATGGAGCGATTAGTTTTATAATCTCAGGTTTACGGACTGGGAGGTTGCTATAGGGATACTGAATGATATTAAATGCTGAAAGTAGCTTCAGAATAGTTTTGAGATTGCTTTGGTATTGCTTCATGATACCTGTACCTCAGAAGCGCTTTCTACAGACCCTGTTTGGGTGGGGAATATAGGGAAATAAATTTCACATGCCCTGGAGAGCAAAAGAACCAGAAATGTGAGGGGTTTGTGATGCTTCTTTCTTTCTCTTCCCCTTAAATTAAAAACACTTCTCAGTTCTCAGAATTTCAGTTGTGACAAATTTTGAATAAATATCTTTAAAAAGCTTGACAAAGCTGAACACTAGTTTTCAAAACAGTAATTTTGTGTTCATTTTTATGTTATTTTAAAAAGTTTTTCCTTCACTTTCACTAGAATTCAGATTTGATCTAAAGCTGCCTTCACTATAATGCATTTTTGTAGTTGACATTATGGCCATTTTTTAAAGTTCCTGGCCTTTGTAGATTCAAGAAGGGAAGATGTATGTTAGAAGAACTTTAATATTTGCTTGGGACAATGTGTTTTGAGAGCTTAAGTGGATATGTCTTCATCTGTATATAAAGAATGACAAAGTAATCCTTTGCAACCTACTGTGGCCCCAATAGTCTTTATTTGTTTAAACTGACAGTTGCTGGCAGGCCATTGTGTAACAATGTACTGCTTGTTGCCAGCAGAATGATTTTTATCTAGCACTTGTCGGCAGGTTTATTTAAGCAGATAATTTAGGGAGTCTTGGGTGGCTAAACCGGGCTTAAAGTCTGCATCTGTATGGTAAATCTTTGAAAGAGCATTGGATTAAAAGGGGGGCAAGCATTAGATATTTTTCTGAAAGTTGTTTCTAAAGATTATTATTCCTTGTAAGTGATTAGAGAATAAATATAATTTACATTTAGCCCACCCTTACATGCCAACCAGTAGATCCTAACTTCATGTCATGTTTCTTCTAAGGGAAACAACAATTAACCTATGAAATAATCCTTTTAAATTAATAACAGTGTTTTGTTTGTGGAACACAATGTAATTTCTGTGTTGTAAAACTGTAATATGTTGTGCAAAAACTTACACAAAGACTTCTAAAAGGATGGATTCAGTTGACATGGGTAAAATGTGTTAAAAATAACTCAGAGGAGGAAAGAAGGAAGAGGAAGACTGACTATGCTTGACCAGTGGGTGATCCCTCTGCCAGGACAGAAGGCAGCTGCAAAGCTCAGCTTCCTGTGAACCCTCCTGGGAGAGGGCACCCTTGGGTAGTGCTTTTCCTGAGGAGCTCTGCTTGACAGCGGTCCTACTCTTTCTGCATCTTTCCTATTGGTCTCCGTTTCTTTTCTTCTTTTTTAAAAAAATATTCTTACAGCAGATGCAACATTTTTGTTTAGCTTAGATTGGTGGCTGTGAAGTTGTACTCTGATTGAAACTTTAACTCTTCATTGGAGGAGTTTTAGGAACTTTTGACAGGACCCAGATGCAGGAGTGCCCTCTGCATCCAAACTGCCGGTGTTAAAGAAGTGGTAAAGAGTTAGGGTGGTACCTCAACCTGCACAGCTGAGAAGCTTTCCCAAAATATGACAGCAGTCAAATGCTGTGTTAAGGCACTCACACAGCCAGAGCATTTCAGGGGAGATCATAATTTATCTGTCTTGTTCAGGACAGTCAGCACTGCCACAGAATAATGGGGTGTCACGCAACAAATTTTGACTTTCCTCCTCCCAGCCACCCCGTTACAAGATAAGGAAACTGCTCTTTGAGTTACTCAGGGGTATGTGAAGGAATGGCTGCAGCATTTCATGATCCAAGAGTTGGTTTATAGAGCCCCAGAGCAACAGGCTTCACACTTCAGTGGGAGAAAATGCCTCATACAGAGCCTGTCCCCCATCTCCTTCAAGAAGCCTATGCTGCTCGGAAATGGCTGCTCAGTCCTTGAATGACCAGCAGGGTCGGCAAAATCATCCTGACTGACCAAATCTCCTAGAATGGCCCTTCACAGCCTTGTCTAAGTTCATACATGAATGAAGTGGGGTTGCCCATTTCACATGAAGAAATTCCTGGAGATTTGAGGGTGGTGCCTGGGTAGGCAGTTTGATCAGGGATGTGATGTCATATAGTCTACCCTCTGAAGCTGCCATTTCCTCCTGGGAAACTAGTCTACAGATCAGTTATAGTTTTAGGAGAACTCCCATCTGGAGGTTGGTGACATTGGGAAGAGTTAGGCAGCTCACTTCTTGAAATCATAGGATTCAGAGAGTTTTTGAACAGAAAGGGGGAGTTGCCTGAGGGAGAAGATCTGCCTAGTGTCTTTTTCCATAGGAAGATCTTCCCCGTTTAATTGCCACAGCTTTTGGATCCCCCAGAATGGAACTTTCACTCTGGAATCCAGAACACTCCTAATGGAGCTAGGAAGGCATTCCCTTATACGTAAAGGAACATAAGAACATAAGAGAACATAAGAGGCGCCAATGTTGGATCAGGCCAAAGGCCCATCCAGTCCAACACTCTGTGTCACACAGTGGCCAGAAATACCAGGTGCCATCAGGAAGTCTACCAGTGGGGCCAGGACATTAGAAGCCCTCCCACTGTTGACCTCCCCCCAAGCACCAAGATGACAGAGCATCACTTGCCCCAGAGCCCCTATCTATACCTTGTGGCTAATAGCCACTGATGGACCTCTGCTCCATATTCTTATCTAATTCCCTTTTGAAGCCGTCCATGCTTGTAGCCGCCACCACTTCCTGTGGCAGTGAACAAATCAAATGTTATCCTTCACAGATTACTTTATGGAGCTTGTCCAGAAGAGTGTGCATATATAAGGTACTGACAAGGGGAATATATTCAGAAGCTGAAGAGAGCAGCTGCTACCTTTATGGTTGATACTAGCCTGGACTCAAAGTACATGACTAGAGCTATGCCTGCTACAGTCATGATATGCTGAAATCTGTGTTTAAATAGCTGAATGGTGGACAGATCCAAAAGCTTTTAGTGCATTCCCCTTTATGGGAAACATTGTCTTTGGGTATCATTTAAATATCCATGTGTCCTCTCTTCCTCTAGTAGAAAAGAATGATGCATGAAATCTTGGAGGGCTTTTGCTTTAGATAAAGTACTCTGGAGATTCAGGCATGACTTCAGCATGTTTCTGATCCAGACCTGAGCTTACAACTAAGCCCAGTCTCTCATATTCTCAACCCACCATATTTTTATGGGGGTGCCTGTGAAGGTGGAAGCTATTATCCATTAAAGTGATTGCACAGGGCAACGGCAGATGTGTTCAACACGCCTGGCTGTACACATCCGTGGTCCAGCGAGGTTGGGAAACTATAGCCATAGATTATTCGTTAGAGTTCTTTCACTGCTCCTGTGACAGGGATCTGACTTCCCCCACATCATTTCAGCAAGTCAAGCATCAGCAGACCCTGGACGCTATCAACTAAACTTTTTTTCACAAATACCAAATTTTGTTCTGTTGCAAGAAGGATTCTCGGCAGTGTATTCAGTATTCCTTACAGTCTCAGAATGGGGACTGGTGAGCAGTACTAGATCTTAAATAAATAGATTCATAAGATATTGCAGAACTTGAATGGAGATAGCAGAGTGGAAGTGTTGTGGTTGGGGCTCAGGGAGAATCTGACAGAACTCTGCCTTCACAATCTGATTGTAACATCTCATCAGAAATTCCTCCGGTTCTCCCACCAACAGAAACAGAGTCCAAGACTCTGTCATGTGGCCCTTTGGGTCTTTGTATCCAGTTGATGTTTGCAGTGGTAGCATCAGTATGCACAATCAAGGACAAGACAATCAGGGTGTTTGCAACCACTTTATAATGTCTGCATGAATGCTGTGTCACATTCAACAGGAAAGATCTGTTAACATTATCTCAATGCGTTCAGCACTTCTGAGTCACAATAGGTTCTCATGAAGAGAGTCTCTTCCTGTCATAAGATGAGAAAAAGAACTGATATTTTTCAAGACAATTGGCCTGATGTTCTTCACCTACTTACAAGGAATTGTGCTCTCCTACGTAGGTACGGTGTTGTGGGCCAAAGTCCATGCAAGAGCATTTCTGTGGTAGCTACTGCTATCCTAGTATAATATCCCAACAAAATGTTATCTAAAGATATAAGAATTCTCCAACACTCAGACACAGCAAGGCATGGTGGCTCAAGAAGGCTAACCTTCTCAAAGGCAAACAATGCAGTTTACAACTAATATACTCAGATGTGTACTGTCAGGGACTTTGTGCTCAAGGCCTCTGCAGTGCAGAGGAGTGCAAGCATAGTATCAGTCTGTTAGAACTATAGATGATTCAGTTAGTTCTCTTTGTGACCTGGCCTAACGGCAGATGTTCACATTAACTAACAATGGGAAAAGAGCTTTCCAGCGTGTCAACAGAAGTGAACCTGTTGTTTTGTGCAAAGAAAACATTTTGCATCATTGAGGGCTGAGCATATCAGTGATACTAGCTATCACCACTAGGGGATGGACAGGGACTGGACCAGGAACCTAATTTCGTCATGGACCGGGGGCCTGTTTGTGGACTGTTTGTTCAGTCTGTGTGTTTGCATTTTCAACAGACCACCTGCGAACCACAATTTTTTTCAGGCAGTCTGTTTGGTCCATGGGAGTGGTCTGTGGGCCAGACAACCCGGCATGGAGGCATTGATTGTCAAGGTGACCAGGGAGGATGTTCTTCTATAATCCTTCTGCACCAATACTGGCCCTCCAAAGCTTGTCA